ATCCCCTTTATGTATGCTGGGAGGCAGTTGAACAGTCTCGGGCCCCTGACACTTACTGTATTGTCTCTTAACGTGCTAGTGATACCCCTGCTTTTCACTGGGGGGGTATTGCATCGTCTACCGAGTCTTTTGCTTTCGTTGTGAGTGATTTTCGTGTGCAAGTTCGGTACTAGTCCCTCTAGGATTTTCCAGGTGTATATAATCATGTATCTCTCCCGCCTGCGTTCCAGGGAGTACAGGTTCAGGAACTTCAAGTGCTCCCAGTAATTGAGGTGTTTTATCTCCGTTATGCGCCCCGTGAAGGTTCTCTGTACATTTTCTAAGTCAGCAATTTCACCTGCCTTGAAAGGTGCTGTTAGTGTGCAGTAATATTCCAGCCTAGATAAAACAAGCGACCTGAAGAGTGTCATCATGGGCTTGGCATCCCTAGTTTTGAAGGTTCTCATTATCCATCCTGTCATTTTTCTAGCAGATGTGATTGATACAATGTTATGGTCCTTGAAGGTGAGATCCTCCGACATGATCACTCCCAGGTCTTTGACGTTGGTGTTTCGCTCTATTTTGTGGCCGGAATTTGTTTTGTACTCTGATGAAGTTTTAATTTTCTCGTGTTTACCATATCGAAGTAATTGAAATTTCTCATCGTTGAACTTCATATTGTTTTCTGCAGCCCACTGAAAGATTTGGTTGATGTCCGCCTGGAGCCTTGCAGTGTCCGCAATGGAAGACACTGTCATGCAGATTCGGGTGTCATCTGCAAAGGAAGACACGGTGCTGTGGCTGACATCCTTGTCTATGTCAGTTATGAGGATGAGAAACAAGATGGGAGCGAGTGCTGTGCCTTGTGGAACAGAGCTTTTCACCGTAGCCGCCTCAGACTTCACTCTGTTGACTACTACTCTTTGTGTTCTGTTTGTGAGGAAATTATAGATCCATCTACCAACTTTTCCTGTTATTCCTTTAGCACGCATTTCGTGCGCTATTACGCCATGGTCACACTTGTCGAAGGCTTTTGCAAAGTCTGCATATATTACATCTGCATTCTTTTTGTCTTTAGTGCATCTAGGACCTTGTAGTGATCCAGTAGCTGAGACAGACAGGAGCGATCTGCTCTAAACCCATGTTGCCCTGGGTTGTGTAATTGATGGGTATCTAGATGGGTGGCGATCTTGCTTCTTAGGACCCTTTCAAAGATTTTTATAATATGGGATGTTAGTGCTATCGCTTTGCTATTGCTTTACTGCCACCTTTGTGGAGTGAGAGCTATGTCTGTTGTTTTTAGTAACTGTGGGACGACCCCCGTGTCTATGCTCCCTCTCCATAGGATGGTAAAAGCTCGTGATAGGAGCTTCTTGCAGTTCTTGATGAACACGGAGTTCCATGAGTCTGGCCCTTGGGCAGAGTGCATGGGCGTATCATTTATCGCCTGTTCGAAGTCATTTGGCGTCAGGATAACATTAGATAAGCTTGTGTTAACCAAATTCTGTGGCTCTCTCATAAAAAATTCATTTTGATCTTCGACTCTCAGTCTAGTTAGCGGCTTGCTAAAAACTGAGTCATATTGGGACTTGAGTAGCTCACTCATTTCCTTGCTGTCATCTGTGTAGGACCCATCTAGTTTAAGTAGGAGCCCAATACTGGACGTTGTTCTCGACTTTGATTTGGCATAAGAAAATAAATACTTTGGGTTTCTTTCGATTTCATTTATGGCTTTTAGTTCTTCCCGCGATTCCTGACTCCTATAAGATTCCTTTAGCTTAAGTTCGATGTTTGCTTTTTCTCTGACCAGTGACTCCCTACGAATTTCAGATATATTGACCTCTTTTAGCCGCTCTGTTATTCTTTTTCCATCGCCTGTAAAGGGAGCGCCTGTCTCTTTCTATTTTACATCTACTCCTCCTTCTTCTGTATGCCTTGAGCATACATCGAGTGCCACCGATTTAATCTGTTCTAGGCATAAGTTGGGGTCTGTGTTGCTTAGTATATCTTCCCAGCTTATATCGGTTAGGACTTGGTTTACTTGGTCCCACTTTATGTTCTTGTTATTGAAGTTGAATTTGGTGAAGGCTTCCTCGTGACTAATCTCATTTTGTCGGTCTGGAGCTCCGCGCATACATGTCTGAACCTCGATTATGTTGTGATCTGAGTATATTGTTTTTGATATGGTGACATTTCGTATCAGATCATCATTGTTAGTGAAGATGAGGTCTAGTGTATTCTCCAGTCTAGTAGGCTCTATTATTTGCTGGTTTAAGTTGAATTTTGTGCAGAGATTTAAAAGCTCGTGTGTGTGAGTTCTCGTCAGAGCTGCCTCCTGGTGTTATTACTGCAACAACATTATTTGCTATATTCCTCCATTTTAGGTGCCTCAAGTTGAAATCCCCCAGGAGCAAGATGTTGGGGGCAGGAGCTGGCCCCATAAGCATGCCCCATAAGCATGCTTATGGCAAGACAGTCCAACGTATGTCCACCCCTCCTTCAGAGCTCAGGCACTGTACTTCCTACCTCCAGGACTCAAGTCTGGGTAATCGGTTTTCCCTGAATCCCTTCATAAACGTTGCTTTGCTCACTTTCCAACAGCACGTCAAATCATAAAAGCCATTTGCCTCCACTCGCTTCTAGCACACGCAAGTAAGCTTGCTGGAAGTCTAAGCCTCTCAAGCACAAAACCTTCTTTACCCCCTCCTTCCAACCTTTCCTAGGACGACCCCTACCCTGCCTTCTTTCCACTGCAGATTTATACACCCTCCAAGTTACTCTACTTCTTTCCATCCTCTCTGAATATCCAAACCACCTTAACAACTCCTCAGCCTTCTGGATAATGCTTTAATAATAATAATAATAATAATAATAATAATAATAATAATAATAATAATAATAATAATAATAATGATAATATCTTCATTTACTACAAGTACATGTACAAGGTATACAGTCCTAGCTGACATCAATAACATATACTATATAGAAAGCCGCTTGTTATGCAGAGCATTTTGGGCAAATTAGGTCAGTTTTGTCCCAGGATGCGACCCACACCAGTCCACTAGCACCCAGGTACCTATTTTAAACTGATGGGTGAACAGGGACAGGGACAGCAGGTGTCTTACGGAAACACATCCATAATGTTTTCCAGCCGTACTGGAGAAGATTCGAGCCCCGGACCTCAGTGTGTGAGCTGAGTGCGCTAGCGATCGAGCTATGGGACCTACTGGCACTTCCTTCTAATCTCCAATATACGGATTATCTGCTCACACATTGCTCTCAGACATATCTCCACTGCCCCTCAGTCTTTTCCTTGTTGCAACATTCACCGCCCAAGCTTCGCACTCATATGAAAGTGTTGGACCACTGTGAGGGAAAAGTTCAACAGATAGGAGTAGCGAGCGAATATATGGTGACGATAGTTTGACTGCCGACTGCTTGTTAAGGTAGGGTCATTATAGCTCCCGCTATTCCCTTCCCCCTCCTTTTCTCCACCCCGAAAGGTGACGTGTGGGGCTCGGACCAAACAGTAATCACTTGACTCACAGCTCCCAGCACAACTCTTGGAATCATAGCTCCGGTCATCTGCCAACCAAAGAAACGTGTTGAAGGAGACGGACTGCAAACAGGTCCTGACACGTCACTTTTTGATCTACCTACCTGATTAATTGAAGTCAACCGCAGGCAACTATCCCTCATCTTTGCAGTGGTGAAGAACCTGCGTTTCTATCATCTGGACTGCCTATTCAAGGCTATAGACTCTGTGAAGAACTAGTCGTTGGGTTGTCACCAACACCTGTGACCCCCCCACATCATCAGTAACGGCTACAATTTCTTCAAGACGGTGTCAACCTCAACCACACACCCCAGCATAACTGTACATATTAGCGTTGAATTCAAATGTCATTTTTCCATTTCATTTTTCATTTTTCTTTAAAGTAGGATACACATTCATGTTTCAATGTTTTATCTTTGCATTACTAAATAATAAAGTGTTTATCTTTGTGAATTATTTCTTGTTCTATTCATTAATTTTCCTGAGGAGGAGCCAGCCTTGATAATACTGTCTGAAGTTGTTACAGGGCTGAGTAAGCCTTCACAACCACTACTCTCTCATACATTCCCTCTTTCCTTCCATGGATAATGTTCTTTGTCTCTTCAGATTCCTCTATGCAGCACTCACCTTTTCCCCCCTCGTCAATATTGTTTCATCTTGTCTTTCATAGACCCATCTGCTACCTTTGATAAACCTTTCACAGGTTTTGAGAGTCCTTCTACTCCCGGAGCTCGGCCATGGGACTCCCAGATATGTGAACACGTTCATTCCTCCGTACTCCCTCCCTCCAGTCTGATATTCAATCTTTCATTACCTATTTTTATCTTATCTTCATCACCTTACTCTTTGAAATGTTCACTTTTAATTTTCTTCTTTAATATACTCTCCCAAATTCGTCTACCAGCCTTTGCATTATTATAATAAAAAAGAAGCGCTAAACCTACAAGGGTCATACAGCGCAACAGGGCAGGGAAGGATGCAGGGGTATTGGGTAGCAAGAGAGAGAGGGATGATTATTAGGGCATGGAGTGCAGCGGGGCAGTACCAGCCTTTGCAACTTCTCTTCAGACTCTATCAAAAATGCAGCTTTAACAGCCAAGAGGAACTGCGACAGCTCCCACTTTGTGTTAGAGTCTTTATCTTTTAATCCCACACATTTCCCCAACACCCTGAGCAATCACTTCTTTTACATCCCTATTTATAAATATATTTAGCAACCATTGTGAAATCACGCGTCCCTGTGTGAGGTCAACTTTTCTTGGAAAATAATCTCCTACATACCCTAACCTGAGCTTCACTATCCTTGTAAAATCTCTCACCTCCTTTCAGTAACGTACTGCCTATTTTATACACTTGCAACAACTTCTGCATTGCTTCCTTGTCAGCCCTATCATATGCCTTTGTAAGAATATCATAATAATATCTCAAGATACTATATCTAGAGAATAAACCAAGAGAATACCTCATAAGGATCCCAGAAGAGAGACTCGTAGGGTGCAGCTAGGTGCTGGTTGGCTTGGTCTACATGCACGTAGGACATGGTGTAAGGATATATGGAGATGTTGAGGGTAAGAGGAGGCTCTTTGAAGGTGTCCTGCGTGAAGGAGGCATCTACCAACAGGCACAACACCGTCACCAGCACCGGCAGGAGACCCTTCGTTAGCAAGGAGGAAATTAGTGTAAATGTCCCTCTGGAAATTATATTTGAGTGACACGATGATTCTCTAAGATTTTTTTTTTAACTCGTGTTAGGCAAGTTTACTTTTCGTTCTTGTTTTACGTGTATTTTTTTCTAATAAAATGGTTATTGTTTCAAATCTGTATCATCATTTTCATCATCACAACGACTCAATACATTATAACTATCAACAATATAGCATTTTGGTATAATGTTTCAGACACGATCTTGTGAATTTTGCATTTATCGTCCTCATTATTAAAGAGTAAATAGGAACCAACCTGAGTGAGGAAGAGAACCCACTTCCTCTTGCTGTAGATGACTCGCTTCACGAGCAAGGCTTTGATCCTCTGCCGGAGTAACAAGCTTCCTGTCAGTGTCTCATCGATGTCTGTCAGGGATAGTAACTGCTATGAAAAGTTCAATTACTATTATTTGGTTGTTTTTGGTTCATATGTTCAGGTAATTGCTCATTTAAGATTGCCTAATTGTGATTATCTGTGTGCAGCTGCAGGCACCTAACAGTGTTATTGGTAATACACCTTTTGTGTTTTAGGTTACATAATTTTTGTTAAGGTTGTACATTGTTTTATCGATGAATCTTTCGTTAATCTTATAAAAAATTTGGAATCATAGGATTGTGACACTCGGGTAACAATAAAATAAAATTTGTTCATGATTGCAGCCATGTATACACGTAAGTAACCATTCTTACAGTATTCATTACCTTTGTAACTTGTGAGTTCATTACCTTGTACCTAGTTCAGCCATCAAAACTTTGGAGCCCGGTCCCTGGACCCATTGTGTACCTCTGTAATCTGTAAATACCTTTGTAACTTGTCATGATTGTGACTAGACCTACCTGGAGTTCATTACCTTTGTAAATTGTGAGTTCATTAACTTTGTAAATTGTGAATTCATTACCTCTGTAACTTGCTCAGCTATCAAAACTTTGAGGCCCAGTCCCTGGACCCATTATGTACCTCTGTAATCTTTTGACTACCGCCCACTGGATGGGTATGGGGTGCATAATAAACATATTAAACTAAACTAACTAACTAAAGGTAACAATATGTCTACACTTTATTTCGATGAAAGTGTGTCATTATTTATTCATGGCAGCATATTTTGACTTTCTATAACTTGTGTTAGTGGTACTTGTAAATATTATTCCATTTATTCCATATAATTTAATATTTTTGCAAGGTTTTGTATGCTCTTACTTGCCAGGTAAGAGCCTATAAAACCTTGCAGGTCCTTCTCCATTCCAACTGCTCTTACAACTGTAATAATCATCCGCCCTTATTTTGTACCCATAAAAACCTCACTGAATATTTGATTCAGTTTATCGCAGCTTTCCATGAAGTTTATTGACCGTGAGAAGTTCTGCTTCAGTTTTAAACTTAGTGTTTCGCTCTTGACATTTTCTAATCATTTAGATACAGATTAATTTGCGCTTTTCATTTTAGTTTTGATGGCTGTTTCATTTTTAAATTGTCTTTTCGCTGTCTTTCTTGTTTTGATAACTTACTCGTGTCTGGTCCTCCTGCTTGGATCTGTATTTTCTGCTGGTCCTCTTTTCTGTATTTTCACTTCCTCGCTTTACCTGGATGTCTTGATATATTTCAGATTTTTAACTGGAATCAACCAGTCAGTTGCCTTCCATATCTGTGTCAGATATTCCACTTAAACCTTTGCTAATCTCCCAAGAAAATCGGTTATTCATCATGAACACTTTCTCCTTTCATAGTTATTCTCTGTCCATACCATCGTTTTCTCTACTCCAGTTCTTTCTTCATTTAAAAATAGTTCTACAAAGAAGTTTCGTATCAGGACACAATGGTCACTGGATCCTAGTTCGTCTTCTCAGAAGTCTAGTCATGTCTGGTCTGACTGGCTTGCCTACTCTATTATTGTAGATTCTTTACATGTTGCCAGAAGAAATTCTGTGTTATAATATACAATATCATTGATATTCACCTGTCAAGCTTTCTACTATATTTCGTAGTGATTTTAGTCATCCTTTATTCGCAGCTTCGATTATTTTTTTTATGAAAGCGTCGCTGTTGTTATCGTATTTGTAAGCATAAATAGTGGTTCCAAGGGGTCGTGTGTCCTTTCCTGGTCCTACTTTTTTTAAATGTGCACTACCAGCTTCAACAGTTCGTACCTATTACTAAATATATGTATAGTTCTCATCAACCACGTCCTGGTGTATGTTATTCCTCTGCCTTAAAACTCGTCTGAACATCGCTGTAACTTACCATGCGTCATTAACTTCCAGTTACGCCTCCTTGTCCCTAACATTTAGCTTTCAAGCAGTTTGTATATCTACCTTAACAATTTATCTTAACATGATTTTCTGTCTTGTTAATTTTACCTGTCCAAGTAGGCCAGCATTGTCAGCTCTTTGATTGGTTTCATTGCAAACGTCTGGAATTTCTCCAGTTTTTAAATGCTTGATGAGGTGTGGACTCCAAACTGGTGCTGCACACACTATTATGGATTGGGAAGATGTCATAAACGATCATGAATGCCGTCCTCTGTTAAGAGAGCGTGTAATACCCACGCCTACGTAGCGTAGTTTGTTTTGCTCCATTATTGTTCAAATTTCATTGTACAATCTCTTAGTAATTAAATAATCAACTACCTCATTTTGTGATTTTACTAGTAAGCATAAGTCACCTTATGTAATTTTCTTATTTACTATTGTTCGCTTAAACATTAGCTGAATTGATACTTTCTCTGTCCATATTACTACCTCATACTTTTTTAAATACTATCAATTGATATTACCTACTAAAATTAATAATTATCATTTTTACTATAATTTCAATTTACTCTTAACATTTTTGACATTTAATAACCATTACTTGTCTAATTACCTTTACCTGTTTTATACCACATTTACTATCTTAGAGTACTCTTAATTACCTTGTACTGCCATATAACCTCTAGTATAACTACCAGTGCAATATTGAATGAAATAAACATTACTTTTTCACTTTTTTTGTAATCATTATTACTTACTAAAATTTTATTAAACACCATATTTTACTACCAGTCAATTTTTACTTTTGTACATTAAACATTATTTTATACTTCCCATAACATTTTGTTGCCAAATTTTCAAGTTTGTATATTCAACTCCAACCTTTATATTATCCTTTGTACCTGTCTACCATCTTACTATCATATTATAACCAAGACATTACCATTATTCATTGTTCTTACCTGTCCATTTAATTTTGTTTACCACTACTTGTTTTTTTAGTAACTTTTTATTGTGTGTGCAATTAGTATATATTCCAATTACTTTTTTGCAAGTACCAAAACTATCTTTTGCTAGCTAGTACCAACCACCTCATTTTTTTTTTTTACTTTTTATTGTGCAATAAACTGCTCAACTTATTTAATATTACAAATCAGATCTTACTCCTAAACCAATATTTTTCATGTGACTATCTGTCCATTTAACTTGTTTACCATTACTCAATTGTAGTCCCTTATATATTTTTTGTCCTTTATTTTAGCTCTATATAACTACCTTAGATCATATATTCGCAATTGTTAAACTAATCAAGGTGCTATTCTCAGGTGCTAAAGTTAATAAGTTCACTATTTTGCCTTTATACTCCAAAGCTCATTTATTTGATTACCACTTTATTGTTCACCACAACTTATATTAGTCCCTTTTATATTATAATTTTATATTATAATTCTAAATTTAAAGAATTACCTTTAAACTACTACCTACTATCATATTCCCAAGCTCCATTATTTGATCATCACTTTATTTGTTCACCACAAATTATTTTAGTCCCTTTTATATTGTCTCCTTTATTTTAGCTTTAAAAAACTGCCTTAGCTTATTATTTTTTACATTTGTTAAATAATTCAGGTGCTATTTTTTTTAGCTTTAGAATATTTACTTTATTTTTTACTTAATTCTAACTATAGATTCACTACAAATCTTATGATACCAACCTCTTATTTAATGACTTAAATGATTCAAACAGTTACTGTAATTACTACACAGCAGAAGAATCAAAGGCACTTCTCAGAGCCAACAACAACATAACTATCTTTAACTACAATATCAGATCTTTAAGCAAGCATTATGATGACCTCCTAGCATTACTAAATTCCTTGCATGCCAATATGTCCATTATTACACTAACTGAAACCTGGCTAAAGCCTGATACTACAGATGTCTATGTCATTCCTGGTTACACAGCCATACACAACTGTAGGCCAGACCAACAAGGGGGTGGCACAGCTATATACTACTCAGACCAACTAGAATGTATCACTAATACTTGCACAAGGGATGAACATGGGGAATATATAATAGCTAAATTCAAATCCAAATACCTACAAAAACCTCTCACAGTGATAAACATCTACAGAATTCCACAATCAAACATTAGCCAATTTAGTCAAAACCTAGGAAGTATGATAACTGATGCACGCATGAACAAAGATCACTTACTACTCTCAGGTGACTTCAATATAAATCTCCTACAAGACCAGGACCCACACGTTACTGAATTCACAAACACAATGAGTAACTGCATGTTGCTACCAACAGTAACAAAACCTACAAGAGTTACAGAGACTAGTGTTTCCCTACTTGACCACATCTGGACCAACACCATATCCCCTTTAAAATCAGGCATAATTACAGATAATACCACAGACCACTACCCTACTTTCCTCATAACAACTCTTGGTAAAATACCCTAAGACATACTAAAGTCACCTTCAGACTTCACAATGAGGCAGCCATTAATAACTTCACAACAGCAGTAACAAACATTGACTGGCACACTGAGCTAGAAATCTATACAGATATGACGAATGTTTTAATAATTTTCTAAAAAAGACCCAATACCTTTATAACAAGCACTGCCCTAAAAAACTAAACAGATGACAGCTAAGAGACTGAACAGTCCCTGGCTAACACCCAGCATTCTCAAATCCATAAATACAAAACACCGATATGAAAAACAGTACAGAATGGGTCACATAACCAGAGACCAAACAAAACGTTACTCGTCAATCCTAACCAGCCTGATAAGAAGGGCAAAAAAATTGTATTATGAGAACAGATTATCCAACTTACGAGGTGATATAAAAAAGACCTGGAACCCCAACTCCCACCAACAGAAACAGCAAACAGACTCAATGATTTCTTCTCCACTATAGGTCAAAACCTTGCCAATAATATCCCAAGCTCAGATACCCCACCAAATGACTACCTCACTGGCAACTACCCGAACACACTGTTCCTAGCTCCGACTAACCCATACGAAGTCTCCCTTATTATCAACGCACTGAAAAACAAGGCAGGAGATTTAAATACCTTGCCACCCTTTATATACAAAAAAGCGTCACAAGTACTATCACCAATCATTGCAACACTCTTTAACAAATCCATTGAATCCTCCACCTTCCCTACAGTTCTCAAAATAGCAAGGGTCACCCCGATCCATAAAGGAGGAGACCAAACAGAGTTGAATAACTATAGGCCAATATCCAATTTACACCCTCTCTCAAAAATCTTCGAAAAATTAATTCATAAACGAATCCACTCCTACCTCATCTCCCATAACATTCTCAACCCCTGCCAATTTGGATTCAGGCCTAATAAAAATACTAATGATGCTATTATACACATGCTAGAACATATATACACTGCAATAGAGAAAAAAGAAGTCCCACTGGGGATCTTCATTGACTTACGTAAAGCTTTTGATACAGTTGACCATGACTTGCTCCACGTAAAATTGTCACACTATGGTATAAGAGGGCACTCCCTCAACTACCTCAAGTCTTACCTCAGCAACAGAAGCCATTATGTGTACGCAAATGGGGCAAGCTCTTCCGCACAACCAATTACAGTTGGTGTTCCACAGGGAAGTGTCCTTGGCCCTCTTCTCTTTCTCCTATACATAAATGACCTACCAAATGCTTCGCAATTACTCAAACCCACACTTTTTGCAGATGACACCACATACGTCTTCTCTCACCCGAGCCCAGTCACGCTAGCCAATACTGTAAATACCGAATTACAGAAAATATCTACCTGGATGAGGACTAACAAACTTACACTGAACATTGACAAAACCTACTTCATTCAGTTTGGTAGCAGAGCTACAGATGTACCTCTTAACATAACGATAAACGGATCACCTATCACAAAGCTAACAGAGGGAAAATTCTTAGGAATCCACCTCGATAATAGACTCAAATTTCATACAACATATACAACAAATTTCTAAGAAAATTTCCAAGACTGTAGGCATACTATCGAAGATACGGTACTATGTTCCACAGTCAGCCCTCCTGGCCCTTTACACTCTCTTATTTACCCCTATCTCACCTATGGAATTTGTGCATGGGGCTCAACAACAACTAACCATCTCAGACCACTAATTACCCAACAAAAGGCTGCAGTTAGAATGATAACAAATTCTCACTACAGGCAGCACACTCCACCAATATTCAAAACTCAACCTACTCACCATAAAAACATCCATACTTATTATTGCAACTTATTACATACATGAACACTTAACTCTGATATTAACCCTCCCCTCAAACATCTCCTTGCCAACCTCAACAGAACACATGACCATAATACAAGGCACAGATCACTCTTTGATGTTCCTCGTGTCCATCTCACGCTATGCAAAAACTCAATGCACATAAAAGGCCCTAAAATCTGGAATTCATTACCTGTAAATATAAAAGAAACACTACCTGTTTATAAATTCAAGTCTCTTCTCAAAGTTCACTTACTCACCCAAAACCAAATAAATACTGAATAACTGAACCATATAAATTGTATATCCTAAATGTTACTCACAATTATATCACACAAATGTTAAACCTAACTTTGTTATTTTTTTAAATACATTACCTAACAGAATACTCCATTCTACTGAATGAGCAGCAATGCATGCAAGCATAGGACCTGTCTTTGTAATACTCATTTGTATTTTATAGTTATCTGTTTACAATAATGTCTTATCACTGATTTCATCATTGCTTAGTTAATCTTAAGTTAATTTTAAGCCAGCCCGTAATTCTATGCATATAAGTGGCTTTGGCATGCTGCTCTTACCTGTATTTTTTGTACCTCTGTTTGTATGCTAAAATTTCTAAATAAAAAATAAAATAAAAAATAAAAAAAATGTGCCAGTGTACCTGTGTGATTCCTCCCTCTCACTATACCCCTCCTATCTCTCTCTCTCTCTCTCTCCTCTCTCTCTCTCTCTCTCTCTCTCTCTCGCTTTCTCTCTTTTGCTCTCTCTTTTACATGGTTAGGTTAAGGATTTTTAGCTTTATTTACAAGCTAAGAGCTGTTACCTACTTCAGCTTATTTTGAAGCCTTTTTATTGTAATGGGACATATAAATAGGGAACAGGATGAAGTTGGAGCCATCTGTGGACCAGCGATTTCATTTGGTCAACCTACTTTATTTCGTTGATGTCATTATGCTGTACGAACATGTTCCAGACTCAAGTCATCCTAGGAATAATGATCTCAGATAAAGTGATCTGGAGAAGGTTACAGTCAGAGTGTTGTTATTGTTTGCTGCTTAATTTGTTGTGTAGAACCTCAATTCTAGTTGTCTGCGAAGTAGAGCCAAGTTTGGAGCTTTTACAATATTGGCCATGTATATTACACTAAGGTCACCCACATCCCTTCGGTGTTGAAGGCTCTGTTGAAATAGATCAGTCCAGGCTGGGTCCACGTGAGAGACGAATCGTCTTATTCTGTTCTCTATTCTGTCAAGAAGTCGTTGATGAAACAAAGGCCAAGAAAGTGGAACAAACTCGAGGTGTGAACGTACTTATGCCTTGTGCAGAATCTTACAATATCTTCTGCCGAGCAGATGCAAAATACGTCTAAGTGCTGTAAGCTTTCTGACCGCTTGTTTGAAAGATTTACAACGTGGTTCTCCATAGACAGTTTGAAGTCAAATTTCACCCCAAGAATTACAATTTCATCCCCGGCTACCAATACTTTCCCCTCCATTCTTACCACTGCTCCAGCATTATCATCATGGTGCCTACAGACCATTTGTTGTTTTCTCAGGAGCAAATGCGACCTGCCATAGTTTTTCCCAGGCTGACATAGCTGTAAGCTGCTGGTTGATGGAACTTTGAGCAGCAAGTATTTCTTCCCTTGGATCGGTAATTTTCCGAGCACAGTCGTCTTTATCTGCATAGAATTCTGGTATGAGTTGAAGGTCACTGAAGTAAACATTCCATAACAATATCCCAAGAACACTTCCCTGTGAAGCACTTGCACCAATTGAGTGTCATGTTGACTCCGCTCTGTTGTACACTGCTCTAAGAGTAGTTCTCAAGTGACTGGTGCAACATAATGGAGAGATTTTACAGTCATTTGATTTGAAGCCTTATTGACAGTTACATAGTGAGTGGTAGTCAAAAAACGCTGTCATCTTCTATGAGATTATTCTCATCCTCTTTTTGTCTGTCTGTCTGTCTGTATGTCTGCCTGTCTGTATATCTGTCTGTGTGTCTGTCTATCTGCCTCTGTCTCTCTCCCTCTCCCTCTCTCTCTCTCTCTCTCTCTCTCTCTCTCTCTCTCTCTCTCTCTCTCTCTCTCTCTCTTTCCCTCTCTCTCTCGCTCCAAAATAAGCATACCAGCCACTACTAAATACCATACTTGTTTGGCTGTCATAAAGGTAGCGTTGACTGCTGTAGATGTCTTCTCGGTCCTTTAAGTAGCCGTTGGTAAAGCCATTTAGACTGCCACTCAGACTAGCACCCAGAGTGTCATTCAGGTTGCCATGCAGGTGTCTATTTCTTGAGTCCCTCACATCTGTGAGTTCTTCAGAGCCATCAATCCCCTCACCAACTCTAAGCCAAAAAAAAAACATTTGCATCATATCAGAAAGGAAAAAATAAGGGTCCAGGTAACATTAATTTATTCATATTTTTTAATGGCAGAGAACTTTTGGATGGGCATGTGTTTTATACAAAGTTTACTGAGCATACTAATCAAATAACATTATTATAATAATAACGAAAATTATTATTAATATTATTATCATAATCAAGTGCTTGACATCACACGGTGCCTGGGAAATGGGAGGTATTCGGGTTTGCTTCAAGGATGCAAACCCCATGCAAGGCTAAATACTGGAAAGCTATAATATTATTGGTCGATAATTAATATGTTTTCATATCCTCTGTCCTATGACATACCTGTTACATGAGAATGATGTTCGCTGGTTAATGCATCTTATTATGAAGACGTCTCGACCACCAGAGACTATCAGTTTTCACAAGAACAAGACATGGGTATTTATAGGGCTTGAAGAGATGCGTTATGAAGTCATGTGAGTAGGTGAAACATCGGAGCACGTGATCTGAATTATGATTCGTGTATGTTGTTCTGGCTATTACCACACGACTCACGACTCACGAAAATATAACGCGATTGCAATCAAATCACAGATTGGGTGAAGCTTGAACCCATATTGAGGGTTGAACCCATATTAAAGCCAGGTGGGCCAGCTGGCTCAAATATGATTCATTCAATTAGGTATATTTCTATACACTACAGGGAGGTTACCATGGATCATCACTGTGGCCACAAATGTAGGTTTCAGAAGACGAATCCCACACCAGCGTGCTCTAGTTCAAATCCCTTGAAAGTCATCATCATGACTCACGAAGCCCTAATACACAACTGTAAACAAATCACAGAATGGTTGGGGATCGAACCAGTGGAAGGAGAGACTTAAAACTCCAAGACGAGTGTGTTGTTTCTACATGGTATGGAATAGTCACCGGCAAGATTAATCACCAAAATTCATTTAGAACCATAAAAGATTTGGTCAGTGAAAGGAAGTCAATAAAAACCACTGGCGGCGTCTGTACTATACCATGTGGAGATTATAGCAAGATTTTTGTCAGACAAATGTCAGACACTGCTAGCAGTGTCAGAGAACATTCAGCAAACCGAAGTGACGATACTAAAAAGTAGATGCACTCTACACAGAAGAACCGAGAACCTCCGCGATGACAGCCAAAACCAATAACTAATAAAAACCCAGGATCATTCATAGTCTCCAAAGTTTGAGCAAGGTTTATTCTCCCAGTTTTGAGACTCTATGACCGCGGGTTCAATCCCGGCCGGGGGTATGGTTTCTCCCACTTATCCTCACTTACTCGGCTGGCTGCTCACATGCGACTTCGTGACCTCAATATCTCACCTCAGGACTTCTCTTCAACCCTTATAAATACACGTATTTCTTTTATTCTATGTGTGAACTGATAAATTCGCCACGAACCACAGTGTGTGATTTATTTACAGTACAACCTGTCGGAATAGTCTAGCCGGTCCTTAGCCGGTTAGGAACCGGGTCACGGGAGTGATCTCCGGAAGTGACTCCAGGTTGCATTCATGTGATATACCATGATATACCCGTCATATACCCTGGACATGCATGTGACGTAGTCATGACATGCCTGTGAGATATGCTTGATATACGAAAAACTATCAATTCCCTGAATATTCGTTTTAAAATCTATTATAAAAAAAATATTCATAAATAAAAATAACTAAACTGAAATGCATTCAATATTAATGTTAAGTGTGGCGTCTGAATACATGTCTAAGTGCTCTTTAACTGATGGGATCTTGTGTCGCACTTAATCAAGACAGGTGGTAAAACACACGCTAGCAAGGTGAATCATAACTGAACGATGATTTAGTCAAATGTGAACTTTACTGTTTGGCACTGGAAAGCCAGCTGTCATTTTTGTCTTGATTACCTACATATCCTAGGGCTACCCTACTTTCATGTGTCCGTAAACACTTTCTTACAGTGATTCAGTCATCGGGCTGGCAAAATTGGACAGTTACCCATTTTCTGGCGATTCTTTTGGACGAATAAGGCAACAGAAACAACAACAAACAGCATCAACAGCAATAACAAACAACAACAACAGCAGCAGCAAACAGAACTACAGGACAGCCACAATTTACGGCGCTTTGCTAATGATGGACATTTCAAATTATACCCAAAAATTCGTCTATACAGCTCCTGATTTCCTAATACAGCGTCCGCGTCTGTTTGTTTACATCCTCCGTGAGCGCCACATCTCTCTCGATTATATCTGGAAACTTTCCAAAGTGTCAAGTGTTTTAAAGTTATTGCATATTGTATATATACTCTGATAATGTGTACCTTTTCCATTTTTTTTAAATAGCACATCCGCCATTTCCCATCAAGGCAGGATGACCAAAAAAGAAACACTTTCTCATCATTCACTCCACCACTGTCTTTCGAGGCACGCCTACAATTTCAGTTATAAACTGCAACATCAACACCACTCTTCAGAGCCCAGGCACGTACTTCTCACCTTCAGGACTCAAGTCCCGGTTTGTTTGGCTTCCTGAATCCCTTCATGAATGTTACTTTGCTCACACTCCACCAGCACATTAAGTCCTAAAACCCTTTGTCTCCACTCACTTTATCTAACATGTTCATGCATGCTTGCTGGGAAGTCCAAGCCCTATTTACACAAAACCCCCTTTCCCCCTCCATCAAACTTTTCCCAGGCCGCCCCCTACCCACCTTCCTTCCACTACCGATTTTTACGCTCTCCAAGTCATTCTATTTTTATATGCCTGAAGCACCTCAACAACCCCTCCTCAGTCCTCTGGATAATACTTTTAGTAATCCCGCACCTCTCCTAATTTCCAAGCTATGGATTCTCTGATTATATTTAACCATACATTGCCCTCAGAACAACATCCACTGCCTCCAGCCTTCTCCCTTTTTGCAACATTCACCACCCCTGCTTACACCCCTATAAGAGCACTGGTATAAGTATACTCTCATTCATTCCCATATTCCATGGATAACGTTTTTTGTCTACACAGACTCCTCAGTGCACCACTCCCCTTTTTCCCTTTATTAATCTATGATTCACCCTTTTCTTTCACAGACCTGTGACAAGTTCACTCCCAAATACCCGAATACATTCTCTTTCTCCATATGCCTTCCCCCCAGTATGATATCCAATCTTTCATTCTTTCCAATGTTCACTTTTAATTTCCTTCTTTAACATACCCTACCAATTTCGTCCACCAACCTCAGCAACTTCTTTTCAGAATCTCCCAAAAGCACATTGTCATCAGCGAATTGAATCTGTGATAGCTCCAGTCTGTGTGGATTCTTTATCTTTTAATTATACACCCTTGCCAACACATGAGCATTCACTGTTCTTTACAAGTAAATTTCCTTAATGGTCATCCCTTTGTACCATGTTCAGCTATCAAAGTTTGGGGCCCAGTCCCTGGGACCCATTAGTACGTTCTTCTGTAATCTGTAAATACCTTTGTAACTTGTCATGATTGTGACTAGATCTACTGGAGTTCATTACCTTTTGTAACTTGCTCTGCAATTACAACTTTTGGGGCCCGTCCGTCCTGGATCATTATGTACCGTTAATATACCGCACATGGTATGGGTATGGGTGCATAATAACCATATTAAACTCACTTACATTCACAGTATGGTGCCCGTGGCCTAGTAGGCAACGCTCTCCCTTCACACCTCTGAGTGTCCATGGTACGATCCTTGGCAATGGGTTTGAAATATTATTTGTTACTTGCGCCATAATAAAAATTTACTCTTAATGCCTCTGTGCTGGCGGGTGCACTAAAGAATGTCTTCTAGTGTGAAGATGAAAATAAGCATAATGTTATGAAAAGGATAATCGCTTGGGGCGTTTTTAAAGTCGTATATTTATGTTATTATAGACATTTATGTTAATACATCTATGCGATTTTTCCAAAATATAAAGAAACCTGCTTCATGTCATAAAAAACAAAATGTTACATAATAGTCAGTGCCCGGAGTACCGCATAGGCAAACTAGGCATTTTGCCTAGGGCCCGCGCAGTTGGGGGCCCCGCGGTCCAAGTGTTCAGGGGGCTCATCCAAGACTCGCACATGGTGCAGTGTAAAGGGGTCCCTACCTAAAAAAAGTTCAAGTGTTTTTGGAGAGTCAAATTGATTTTTACAAATAATCAAACAAAAACTAAATAATGAAATAAAATAAAATAAAAACAACATAAACCTACCCCATAGATGGCAACACTAAACACGCCTTTGTTTACATCGAACAGCTGTGTTTTCCCGCTAAGGGGAGTAGGGAGATTCCTCTCCAATTTCTGTAGTAATTACACGTTATCTAGACTTGTACTGTGACAAATTAACTGGTGTTGTTGACAGACATTGATGTGTATGAATAAATGTTTGTTTTTGCCTCTAAATGTTAAGGGAGGTACCTGATAGGTTACTTGACCAGTAAAGACGCATGGACCAGTAAAGACGCATTTTTGGTAAAAATACTATAAAGAAAAACCTAAAAACGCAAACCCACTTCCGTTTGTAGGTTTTAAAAGCACTTTGTCCTGTCTTTAAGTCTTGATCATTTCAATAACAGATCTCAATTGATTGATGTTCTACATCACTTCCGTCGCAAATGCTTAGTTTTCAAGTTGCGACGGAAGTGATGTAAACATCAATTAATTTACTACATATTTCCCCAGAAACACATAAGCCACATCAGAAAATCTTTTGGTTGGGTGAAACTGAAAATTGTCCCTGCATTCTTTAATTCTCATTGCCCTTTATCTATGGTGTAGGCCATATATCATGCAAAACATAATGATTAGTTTAGTTATGAAAATGGTAATATAAATACCTTTGTGCATTGTTTTTGGGACTCGGTATGATTTCTGTTTAAGTAAATTGGGATCAAGGAGGATGAATTAGTAAAATATTCGTAGCCCAAATCACTAACCTAATCTATTGGAAAAAGTTTCTGTATATGACT